GAAGTATTAGCGGTCCTTAAACTTGCGCCACTGTTATCCCGGTCTCATACTCTCAAAACGGTCGTTTAGATCCTAAACTCTATTTGATGTCACAGACGACCCGTACCCATATACATGGCGACGCGGCCAGGGGCAGGGGTGGCGAGTGAGGGGCAGTGCGACCAGGGGGCGGAGGGGCCGGCGCAGGGAGGCGCGCGAGGCCGCGGGCCCGGGAAGGCGCGGCCGACGCGCGGTGGCGGCCTGCCGGCGCGCGTGGTGGCGCGGGCGACTGGCGCAGGGCCACGCAGACGGCTGGCTTTTGCGGCGCGAATCGGGCGCGCGCGCGACGGAGATCTCGCGAGGCCGGCGCGTCCCTTCCAGCTCGCTGACTTCCGAGACCGGTCCTCGTCGTTGTCGTCCGCGGCGAGGTCGCTGGCCTTCTCCGCCTTTGTGCGCGCATACTTCCGGTTTCTGGACTACGGCTCCCTCTTCACCGCGCAGGAGGAAACCGACGGCGATGACGCCGATAAATGCTTGGATGATCCCAAACGGCCTGTCTTGATCGGATAGCGAAGAAACAGTTCCTGCTGGAGCTGCTCCTGCAAATCCGCCCGTACGGCGACGGCATGGAGGTGCCCGCTCGTCCTCGAGGCCATGGCGAAGTAGACGATGCGCAAGGCGGCCACGGCGGCAAGGGTGAAGGTGCTCTGGCGGGCGACGGAGCAGAGCACTCAGCTCTCGTCCTACTTCGACCTGTGCCGCGGCCCGCGGGCTCAGCGTGGCCAACGCCCGCAAGCAGCAAGCTCCCGGTACCGGTAGCATTCGTTCGCTTGAAAGGACGACATCCGGGACCTCGAACGGATCCTCATGAGTGACAACCAGGACGATAACAGTGACGAGGAAAAATCAAGCGCTGGTGCTGTCTGCCACGACGCCGCCGCCGCGCTCGCCCACCATTGCGGCGCCCCCGCTCCCCGTCTGCGCCCTGAGATGGAGAGGAGAGAGAGGTGGAAGATGGAGCTGACATGTGACCACATGTCAGTGAGCCACGTTAGGTTTATGCTATTTTGACACCCGAATAGAGTTTAGGCATCTAAACGACTGTTTTGAGAGTTTAGGGACCGGGACGACACATGGCACAAGTTTAAGGACCATCGGTGTACTTTACTCCCCAAATATATACTCCCTCCATTCTAAATCATAAGTCTTTCTGGCTTCTCTATGTACATATAAAAAATATGTATATAAAAAAGTTAGAACTACTTGCAATTAGAACGGATGGAGTAATATATTAACATAGATAATCACTATAAGCAATCTCCGATGAAATACAGTCTGTGCAACGTTGGTAAAATACCTTTTGGTTTGTGAAATTTACACAATATATTTGGATGTATAGTTACATTATATGCGACATCTAGTCAGCCGCTCTAGAAAAATGTCTACACTCAACAATTTAAAAGCCCTATTGTAACATATAGATCTATTCCCAACAAAACTTCTCTTCAATTTTGGGGCAGCTATATCTATTTAGTTAGGAGTAATTCATTCATGAGACCGAAAAAATTATGGTGGTACATTAATAAGGACGTGAAAAGAATTTTCTCACTGGACCGTGGTGCCCCCGTGGGACGTTTGAGGCGCGGGCACGGCCTAAGCTCTGACCTGTAGGGATGAAAATAGACATAGATATTTGAATTATCCGACATTCATATCTGCTAAAACTTATAATATGGATATATGTATTCATATGTTTTCTAATGTGGATACTAAATGGATGTTTTTGATTCCTTTTTTCAATATTTTTCTCTATCCGATTCTAGATCCGTATTTGACAAAAATTGTGGAATATCCGACATTTACTCTGAAGAACAAGGTAACGAATCTATTTAAAAGTTTTCTCCCATGACTAGTGAATAATTATTTAATTTCAATGTTACTAATGATGCATTGAAACTATTTAATAGTATATCTACAAGTAACATTTAATATTAATTTAGTATTATTAATGATACATAAAGATTAAATTAATTTTAGTATTTTTTTAATTTAGTTTAAACCTGATATATTTGTTGTTATAAATTATTTTAATATTTTCATTTATTTATTTACTAATGTAAATTATTTTATCTAATCTATAATTTCCTAATAAATATTATATAAGTAATGAATGATTAATTGATATATTAAATTATTGAATATTTATTGATCACTATATTATTTTTGATGAGTTATACTTGTCTATGTTATATATCCACATACTTTAATCTCTACTTGTGCAATAATTTTGTAATTACAAAAACATTGATAAAGCAAAATGGCTACTTGTTATCTACCATTCTTAATTTAATATTTTCACTTGACCTATCATTTTATTAAATGTTATCCATTACAATTTAGTTCACTTCGATATTGGAGATTATTAGAGGTGTACTTTGATTTTATTTCATTTTGGATGTCGATAACTCTATACCTAATATTAAAGAGGAAAAAAATTCTCTCCCCCAATTTTTCGTCCCACCCATCTCCTCTACCGAGTCCAAATAAGCGTCGTTCCCCTTCTATTGCCTGGTCCTTGCGCCTATCGCTGGTTCCAAACGTGCGTTTGTTCCGTTGACAAACGATTAGTTGTTGACATGTATGCTTAGGATAGTCGCACCCTAGCCCTAAAAAGCAGCATGCCTGTATATAGCCGCGCGTCGCGGGCTAAATCGTAGTGTCTTGGCAAGTTAGACCTCATTGGCGGTCTTGATGAGCTTCCAAGACACAGGGTGCTTTCCTCGTATCCCTCTAGACCTCTGTCCTCGTCTAGGCAGGCTTGACTGGAAAAACGTCAATGGAGAGGTTGAATAAGCGCAAGCTGGAAAGGTTGGAATGTCACGGGTAGAGGTCGTAGCCCTCCAGCCAGCGGAACGAGATCCTCTAACTTGGGCTCTTTCTACTGCAGAGGACGTAGGATCTCCGATGCCATCCATTCCACATCCTGCGGCACGGAGAAAAAGCAAACAGAGGAGGGAAAGGAGCCCAATAACAGCGCCGGATGGACGGAAAAGGCGCGAACCTGGTAAAAAACGGCGGGAGTCTGATGAGAAAAGGCGTCAAAGACGACGCTTACGATCGCCAGACGACCGAGCTTCTCCTCTGCACTTCAATTGTGTGGAGGTGAGTAATCTTACTCCCTTCTCTCTCGTCGTTCCTCTTTACAGCGGCTTCACTGAGATTGATTGAAATTTCATCACTAGGTTGCAGACTTAGTTTTTGCTTCTCCTGTTGTCATGTAAGAAGCACGATGGAAGAACAAACTAACAGATTGCATCATGATTCCAATACGTATATAAGCAGCACAACCCCACTTTATCATTTCTTATGTGACATCATAAGTATTTTACCCTGGTAGTGCTAATCTATTTCATAATTTTTTCTCTGTACTTCCACAGGCCCTTCTCATGTTATTCTTTTTTGTTGCAGAGATATACTACCTGGCTTGGCACGTCATGTTGGCATGGAGTTTCGAACTTGGAATGAGGCTTGGGTATTTTGGCTTAGCTACGGTGGACAAAAAGGTTTTGAGGTTAGAAAAAGGTATACAAACAAAAGACATTCTGATGGCATGGTTACATCAAGTAGATTTGTTTGTGCAAATGAGGGTCATAGGCTGCAGGACAAAAGGGATCATTTAACTAAATGCCCTCGAGCTGAAACTAGAACGGATTGTTAAGTCCGCATGACTCTTAAATTAGATCGAAAGGAGGGACATTATAAAGTATCTGATGTCATTTTGGAACACAATCACAAACTGCACCTACCAAAAACCTTTCACTTATTGGACACATAGGAAAATTTCTGATTTACAAGCATTTGAAATTGAAACGGCAGATGATGCGGGAATTGGACCAAAAGCAGCACATGAGTGGGCTAGCCACCAAGTTGGTGGACCACTCGATCTTAGTTACACCCTTCATGATCACAAGAACTATTTGCACACCAAACAAAAAGTTCAAAACGAAAAAGAACTTGGCTTGATAAGAAGCACAAGGCTAAAAAAAAGAGACAAAACAAAGTTACAACACAGCTTGCGAAAGAAGCAAGTAATGATGCTCCACAAGCACAAGTAGCACATATTTCAGTGGTATGTTGCTAAAGGAATGTTGCATTTGTACTCTTATCATTCTGTCCAGTATTTCCCTAATCCCTCTAATTTTTTTACTGCAAGATACAAGAGGTTGGGGAAGAGGCAGGTAGTGGTGGTGCACAAGCAGAAAAACAAGTTGCTAATGATATTGTTTACAAGGACAAAGAGGACTCTGAAGATTACAAGGTCAACCTTAGCTTCACTCAAATATTAACGGTAAAATACTTCTTTATTTTATCTAGAGATGATCAGGGATGGTAACTGATTTTTCTTTAAATAGACTTACTTCTATTTAATTTACAGGAACCAATGACGAATGATGTTTTATCTCAGCTGTGGTGAAGTAATTCTATTTGGGTCATTTTGCAAGGTTCAGGTCTCCACCTATTGCTCTGAATTGTTCAGCAAGGTACCATGAAGGACCAATCACAGATGATACTTTTGTTTTTGGGCAACCCTGTGACAAGAGTAGGATATGAAGAATGGAGGATTTTCAATGCAATTCAGTTATCTTTGGCCACCTGCACTATAGTACTGTTTCAATTTAGTCTTGTATATAGTCAAGTCGACGACATCTGAATGTATAGTATATATGTTAACTACAACTTAATGTAAGTATCTGGATGTGTTCTGGAACTGAAGTGGGCATGAGCACTCACTTTTCTGTCAATTTCAGAAACTGAATGATGCACTTTCATCATGGAATTTCAGAAAACACGTCCATTTCAGAGAGCATATGTCAATTTCAAAGGACGTATTTGGAGAACATTACATATTCAGACAGCACTCCAAATAAAATACATATAAAGAGGACAGTGTTATTACAATTGTATTTCAAATAGCATTGCCATTACATTGCATATTCAGAGAACATGGCAGCTAAGAATACATGTGCATTACAGCAGCTCACTATGTCAACGACACCAGGTGGGGTGAGATGCGCACGGGGTCATCGGTCACCGCAGCGGTTCACTCAGGGATGGCCGCCGCGATTCCGAGCTCGTCGGTGACAGCTGCGATTCCGAGTCGGGGTCCAGATGCGCGCGGGCTCAGATTGACAGAGTTGCCACGAGTTGCAGGAACGAGCAGTTTGGCGCCTCCTCCCCGCCGGCTGCTGCTAGGGTTGAGCAAGCGACGGCGAAGCAAGCGCGAGCGACTGGATGCCATTTTTGACCAGACTGGATGCCTTCCCTGTCCATCCAACGCTGTTATTGTTTTCTCCTTCTCCTCCTCTGTTTGCTTTTCTTCGTGCCGCAGGATGCGGAACGGACGGCATCGGAGGTCCTACGTCCTCTGCAGTAGAAAGAGCCCCAAGTTAGAGGATCTCATTCCCCAGCCAGCTGCATTATGCCATTACCCATCGACGGTGGAAGAGGAAGCACGGGTCGGAGACGCCACGACCGTGGAGACGACGGTGATTGCGCTCCACCAAGAGCAGACGTCGTGGAACCAGACCGATGTACGTATTATCCACACCTGATGAGTTCTACTAGATCAGCGGCGAATCTAGAATAAATTGTCGCCGAGGTCAGTAGTTGGCATAAAACCACTGGCAGACCCTGGGCCATTGCCTGGGCTCGTCCGCGTATAATTCTACTATATAAACTTATTTTTGAGTGTGTACTATACTTTTGATGTTAGACTTAATTTCTTATTTAGCCATTGCATTGCCTTGGCTCATAAGAAGCTCTACCTCTGCTACTGACCAAAACATATAGTAATCTAACACTATGGTCTATACATAACGGACATAAATATTAATAATGACGACATATTGCAAAAGTCAAACATTCATATGGAAGGATAGGCAAGCATATTAGTACTTTTGTGTTTCCGGGCTTAGTGGGCTTGCGTAGCTGAACTGCATGAGCGTCAACGTAGTGGGCTTTGCAGCTTCCTGAACATTTTCTCTTGTAGGCTGGGCTGTAGTTACTAAGGTCAGCTTCTAATTTTACCGGGGTCTAAGCTGGTGAGAAAACGGAGGTTACTAGGACCTCTCGGGAAGTTATCGGGGTCGGCGGACCCTGATGGGTCACTGTAGATCCGACCCTGTTAGATCATGGTCCAAGGATGCCCAGTATGACAGAGCTTGCTGCAATCGACCTATCCGATATTAAAGAAGCCCCTTCTCGTCATCGAGAAATTATGATCTAAACTAGCGTTGCCTATAGGCTAGGACACAAGGGACAGGAGCCAACGACAGCACGGACGCAAGCAGCGCTATGCTATGCACGCTCCGTGTTCTGTATTCGAGATGGTGATGTCATGCCAACATCAACATATGATGTCACCCATAACATTTTCTCTACGAAAAACAAATAAAAATAAATGGAAAATACAAACATAGTAATATAAATATCCGAGCCTTTCCATAGGAATTTACAGCACAAAAGAATGCAAAAAATGATGGTAAAATTGGTGTTGATTTTGGTCACGGTGTGTAGTACCGAGTCTAAAATTAATCGGAATGCAAGAAAATTAATCAGAATGCAAGATGATGTTATTGAATGTATCCCTGAACCGTAAGTCCAGGTGATCGCCTAACAACATATTTGTCCTGTTGCAATGCATGAATGTATATTTGGTATTTTGTCAATGTTTTATTTTGCTTTTTCGTTTTGTGCTCATATTTTCATGCCAACCGTGAGCACATCAACGGATGGTGGAGGTCAAGGGGGCGTTTAGATACCCAAAATCAAAACTTTGGCACTATACAAAAAGAAGATTTCCCGTCACATCAAACTTGCGGTACATGCATGGAGTACTAAATGTTGACGAAATCAAAAACTAATTGTACAGTTTGGTTGTACTTTGCGAGACGAACGTTTTGAGCCTCATTAGTCAACGATTGGACAATTATTACCAAATCCAAACGAGAATGCTACAGTACTCTACAATGTGCTACAGTATTTTTTCGGAGGCGCCAACTTCGGCAGCTAAACAAGGGCCAAGTGTAAGAGCGCAGTGGACAACAGTTCGTTAGAATGCACAGACATTTTTCTAGTTAGTAGTAAAATTCTATTCATATACGTTGAATTTAACAATATGTCGTTTAAGTTGAATTGAGTAAAGTTTTGTTAGTAAATATCTAAATAGAAATTCGAATATGAGATTCAAATTTGTATTAAAATATGATTAAAGGTGATATTTGAATCTGATTCATCGGATCCGTTTCCATCTTTGCGGAGTGCTGACCTCAAGCCCTACTGACCTGAAGCCCCATTCACTACTGGAGGCCGCGGCTTTGCCGAGTGCTTTTACTGGAGGCCACGGCTTTGCCGAGTGTTTTTACACTCGGCAAAGAGCCCTTTGCACTCGGCAAAGGCTTTGCCGAGTGTAGCACTCGGCAAAATCCGCTCGGCAAAAATTTTCTCGGCAAAGGGTCTTTGCCGAGTGCTTTTTTATCAGGGCACTCGGCAAAATAAAAACAATTTTGCCGAGTGCTTGGGCGGCACTCGGCAAAATATTTTCGGCCGTTGCGCGTCGGCCGTTAACGGCTATTTTGCCGAGTGCCCGACCCAGCACTCGGCAAAAATTTTTTTAATTACTTTGCCGAGTGCCCCAGCCCAGGCACTCGGCAAAGTTTTTTTTATTTTTTTTTAAAAAGTACTTTGCCGAGTGCCCCTGCCCAGGCACTCGGCAAAGTTTTTTTATTTCTTTTAAAAAAATTACTTTGCCGAGTGCCCCTGCCCAGGCACTCGGCAAAGTTTTTTTTATTTTTTTTTAAATAATTTCTTTGCCGAGTGCCATGGGCAAGGCACTCGACAAAGTTTTTTTTTAAAAAAACTACTTTGCCGAGTGCCACGGCGAGGCACTCGGCAAAGATTTTTTTTTTGAAAAAACTTTGTCGAGTGCCTTGCCCATGGCACTCGGCAAAGACCCCGAGAATTGTAATTTTTTTACATTCCATTGTAACAGACAATATATATATACATCAATCATCACATCTATATCACCAACATGCATTATATATCACAAGCACACGCATATTTAAAAAATCCATCGAAAATCCATCACAAATGCACTAAAGTTCAACGTCACAAGTTTATTATTACAAGTTCAACATCACAAAGTTCAACATCCCTACTGCGGCGACGGAGACTATAGGTGTGGCCCCCTAGAGAGCGGTGAAGGACCGGACTGCGGCGAAGGGTTGACGTGATCAGCCGCCAGTGACACGCTAGCGGGATTGTTTGAACCCGCCGACGGAGGCTGCATAAAAGAGAAGAGATTGCATGTGTTAGACTCAAAATTGAAAATTTCGGCAGCACCTCCCCTACATGGGGAGGTTTCCAACCTGCAAGAAACAACGGCACGAAGGCTGACAATCACAACGGCACGAAGGCCGACAATCCCAACGGCACGAAGGCCGAAAATCACAATGGCACGAAGGCCGACAATCCCAACGGCACGAACGCATTAAACTTTCATACTCACAGGAGTGAAGTGTCAAACCGGAGCTGGAGCTGGCAACTGCACTTCGACACCCGATGCTTGCCCGATGGTTTGCATGATCTGATACATGTCCGCCATCTGCTTCTTCGTGGCCTCCAGCTCTGTGGTCAGGTGCGCTTGTGTCTCCCTTGTCTCTGCCAGCTCGGCCTACAGTGTTTCAATCACATGTTTTAGTATTGCAAATCTGATCAATGTGTGTAACATTCAATGTACGACGAGTGAAACCGGAATTACCTGAAGTTCGTTGACCCGCGACAGTGTTGGAGTAGGCCGTGCACATATGGGAAGGCTTCTGGCCATGCTCCGTGCCCTCACGTCGGAGAGAGAGGGTGCAGAGCTCGAGGAGTCGGCGTCGTCTGTAATCCACAACCGCCCGTGCTTCCTGCCTTGCCCCAGCCTCACGATCACCTCTATCTCAAGGGGCTCAGTGCTCAGATTGTGATCTGAGCCACGGAGCGCCCTAACCGCCTCCGTGTAGTCTCTGACCTTAGCGTGGACGCTCGGGTTAGAGTAAGCCTGGACAGGGGCATCCGGGTTGAAGACGACACCGGATTTCACCGGGCCCATGTGGGACATAGCCCATGCCCCAAAATCCGACACCGGCACATCCGGGTGTGCCACCTCCTGTGAGAAAGACGGCAAGATGATTAGAAATCAGGCAAAATTGAGCATTAGAATAGATAAATGACATCTCGTACAAGTGCCCGCTTGAATGCGGGGAGGTTGCGGCTGCCTTGGTGGTGAGTTGGAGAGGTCCTCAGTGCCCGCTTCCGCTTGCCTTGCTCGTGCTTTGCGATGTACGCCGGGTCAAGGTACCTATCCACGATCCTCGACCATGCCGATCTATGCGACATGCACCACGAGGTCGGCACCTACACATCATGAAGTGTTTGACATATAAGAAGATCAATTATGGACCTACTAAATCTCAAAACGAATCAATATTATTCACCTACCTGAAGGTACTGCTCCTTGGTCAGCGCCACCTTTCTTGCGCCGTTTTTGTTGAGAGGTTCTTTCTTGATGGACCTGTAGTAGTCGACGTGGGCCTGGAGTCGCGCCTCGTGAATCATGTTGCCGACGTACTTCTTACAGGCTCTGTGTGCCGTCTGATCCGCCAGGGTCTCTCTACCTTCTTCGGCCTTGAAGTACCTCTGCATACAAACACGATGTATCCGTTCATTATTTCAATAAAAGACTTAAGCAATGGAGGAGATATATTGAGCTATGTTGTGAGACACGTACCCAAAAGTCCACCAAAACCCGCTCCTGCTTGTTGTCCTGCTCGTCATCCGAGTCGAGCTTGTACCTGTCCCACGACCAGGCCAGCTCCCACCTCCCCTCTTTCAAGTCCACAAGGTCGAGGAAGTGTTTCCTGCACAGACATCCCAGGACGGTAGCGGGGGTGCATGGGGGGTCAAGAGCACCCGACAGAACTAGCCAGCCCCTGCATAAGTGATTACGAAAAATTATCAGTTTCTCTTTTGATTTTCAATGTATCATATGAAGTACTAGTGATAATATCTATAGTTACTTACCTTCTTCCCACAGGACGAACCAGTGGGCGTCGGTCAGGAAGCGGAACCGGAGGAAGGCTTGTGGGACCTCGCAGGTAGGGAGCTAACTAAGCAGAACTGTCCTCCGTCTGCTAAGTCCCCTCGTCCCCCGACGGAGTGTCTGTGGTCGTGCCCGTGGCTGCCACATGGTCCTCCGGGGTAGGAGACGGGTCCTCCGGCTGGTCGAGAGCTGGGGGAGGAGGCGGTTCCCTCCTCGGGTGACCCTAGCCCCTCCCCCTCCCCCTCCCCCTCCCCGTGCTGGGGCGACCCGGGCCTGCTCTCGCCGCTGGGGGTGAAGACGTCCCCTCGCCTCCATCAGGAGGGCGTAGCCTCTGGTACACCGAGAGCACCTGCCTCGGTGAACGGTTGCCCACCATCTTTGTTCTGTCACCTGCAATATACAAAGAATGAACAACAAGCGTTAGTACATACATGTCAAATAGTTCAAAATGAATAAACATAACAAAAT